ATGTTGCAAACTGGAGGCTTACGAACATACCAAGTTAAACCCACAGAGTATTTGGAAATTTTTAAATTTAACATTTATAAGTCAAGAGATTTCACACAAAAATTCATATTTGCAGTTTCTCTGAAAATCAGGGAGATTCTGGCAATAGTGATGAGTGCTTCTTTTAAACTCAGCAAAGATAACAAGTTACCTTTATAAACTGATATCCAAGGTATTTATGGCAGATGTTAGCTTGTTGTTGCTCTAAAACTTCGGAAGAGAATGTTTCAGATTCCAGCAAAGAGGGCCTGGGTGGAACCAGGGGCAGAGGCCGGAGGTGGAGGTGAGGGCAGATATGTTGCTGCGCTTTGAGGCAATCACTCACTCAGGCAGGCAGTCTCCTTGCCATTCTCTCCCACTGCACCTCTATCTCTTCTCTGGAGCACTGACTACACACCTAACTGAATACAGCATTTGCTTGTATTTAGTGTTGGTTTCTGCATCTAGATTGAAAACTTGAAGTGACAGAATGTGTTTTTCACAGAGGTCTCCCCATACCAGGGCTTCACTTGCCCGTGGTTAACTGCAATTTCAAAATAACCAATGGAAAATTCCAGAAATAAATAATTCACAAGTTTTTGTGTATCATGCTTTTGTTTAGGTTTGGTGCGGTTTTTTGCAGTGCTGGGAACCAAACCTAGGGCTTCATGCAAGCCAGGTAAGAGCTCTAACTCTGAGCCATACCTCCAGTCCAACGATTCCCAGATTTTAAAATGCATGATGTCTGGAATACTATGATGAGTTCTTCTGCATCTAATTCCATTTCTGTACTGTACTGCCAGAGATATGAATTATTCCTTTGTCCAGCATATTCATACTGAATGGGCCACCAATGCACTAGTAACTGAGCTATCTGTCCCGATTATCAGCTTAACTGTTGCAGCACTGCAGTATGAGAGTTCAAATAACTCTTATGCATTGCAATGGCCCCAAAGTGCAGTAGTGATGCTGTCAATTTTAATACAGTATACTACTGCAATTGCTCTATTTTATTAGTTTTATTATATCTTACCATATCTAATTTATAAATTAAACTTTATCATAAGTATGCATTTATAGGAAAAAACATAGCGTATAAAGGGTTCAGTACTATCTGCAGTTTCAGACAGCCACTAGGCATCCAGGCACATAACAGCCATAAAGAAGGACAACAGAACTCTTCACTGAGCACAATACCTGTCACAAAGTAGGCACTCACAAATGTTTACTGAATGATAAGTGAATGAACAAATAATGAACGGTTGGGAACCAGGAAACCATTAGAAAATCAAAATCTTACCACCACCACCCCCCTTTGTAAATGAGAGAATTGAATGTTGGTATTGCCACAACTTTTTAAAGTCTGTATTCTAAAATGTTCACAACCCTGGAGAGGCTTGGTTCTACCTTTTAGAGGAGTCACCTGTCCCTCCTTATAGGGCTTACCTATCCTTAGCCTTTACCCTGCTAGTCCTTCTTCTGGGGCTGTTTCCTAAAACCTGCCGTGTATGATCAGCAAGGCAAAGGTCCTAAATATCCCAGAGAGGCAAACCATTTCAGTGACACACCCAACACTTAAGTAAGTGCAAAACTTTCCACAAGAAGGTAAGACAGAAAATCGTTCTTTTCTACATAAAAATGTAAGGGCTTTGGGTGTTAACTCAGAGGCAAAGTGATGCCTAGTAAGCACAAGAACCTGAGTTCAATCCCCACTGGCGAAAAAAATAAAAAGTTTTAAATTAAAAAATATTCTAAGGCACCCAGTTCAATATGCTCAGTGAAAAAAGAGTAAAAATATCAAAAGAAAAAAGAAGGACTCAAGATCATCAAATACGGTCCACACTAAAATGGTCAAAATGTACCCAGTTATCTCCCAATGTCTTATATCTTTTGTTTTTTAACCTCATAGTAGAGTGTGATCAAATTTCACTATTTTGTCTTTTTAGCTCCCTGAATTAGGAAAACTCCACCCCTCCACTTTTGTTTCTCATGTCATTTTTTTTTTTTTTTTTTTTTTTTTTAGGAATCAAGTCTAGCAACTGGCTTGGAGCATGTTCTGCATGTTGGATTTATCTGCTTATTCTTCATGATTAAACCCACATTAAATATTTCTGGCACAGAGGCTATGAAAATTTCATACAGTCTCACATTAAAATGCACAGAATGACAAAACTTCTTACTACTGGCAACAATACATTGGATCATCAGGTTAAGGGAGGTACTGAACCACAAAACATTTTTTCCTTTCTGATGAATAAGTTAATTATTTAAGTAATTAACGTAAGAAATAATGAAACAATTTCCTTAGTATGGTAGTGATATATGGCTATGTAGAATATCCCTGGGCATTTGGGATGTGTGTGTTTGGCTTTAATGATAGGGAGTGAATTCTAGACTTTACATACAGTAGGCAAGCACTCTACCACTGAGCCACACCCCTAGCCTACTCTATCTATCTATCTATCTATCTATCTATCTATCTATCTATCTATCTATATCTGTCATTATTAGGAAGTGAACCACCCAGGGGCACTCTACCAGTGAGTTTCATCAGGATGGTTTCAAACTTGTGCTTGCCTCAGATACCTGAGTAGCTGGGATTAGAAATGTCCCCCATTGAGAATACCCTTCTTTTTAGGAGATGCAAGATCAAATACCTGAGAAAGCATTAAGAGTCTGCAAATTGTCTCCATAATGTAAAGAAATATGTCTATCGATAACTTATGTATCTACCAAGATAGAATTTGGCAAAATGTTAAAATGCAAAATGAGGATCTAGCAGAAAGGATCTGAAGGCTCATTCTGTTGTTCTTGCTATTTTCCACTGATTTGTAATTTCTCCAAAGCAAAAAGCTGAAAGGGACAAACAAAAAACAATTAACAGGCCTGGAGACACAGCTCAGTGACAGAGCGCTTGCCTAGTACCGCAAGGCCCAGGGTTCAGTTCTTAGCAACACACCAATATACATACTCATGCACACACAAAGGATTAACGATGAGTCAGAATTGACAGCCCACATTTCTCCATTTTACTGGAAAAATTTACCAAATGAAAATAAAACCTTTTAAAAAAAATTACTAGGGACAGGAAGGGGCACCAAAAATACAGATGAGAAAAATAAAGACTTAAGCAACAAGTTTAGAAAGCAGGTCAGATCTGCCATAAGAGCTCTGGATTTCAAGACATCTGCACATCATTACAAAAACTATTATATACCCAGGGGAAAACAAAAAAATGCCTCTACTGGATACCTTCAGTTTCAATTCAACCAACTGATCTTTTTCTTTCAATGCCTCTGCTTTTGAAGGAGAGAAAATGATGCACAGCTTTCAAACAAATACTGTTCCATAAAGTAAGGAGAAGAATTTCTCTAAAGAATTTATTTTCCCGAAATTAATAGCATAAGCATCCCAACTATTACAAGCATGGTCATGGCCTGGATGGTCCAGGTTCTGCACCTGAACGCACACACCCATGCACATGCACACATACATGCACACGCACACACATGTAGATTTTGTTTTGTGGTAATGCTGGGGCTTGGAACCAGGGCCTCCCACATGGTAGGTAAACACTCTGCCACTGAGCTACATCCACACCTAGCTTTCTTTAAGAAATTATAACTTCTGATCTAATTTTTAGATCCTGGGTCAAAAGTTGTTTCCAAGAAGATGACACCCAATGTCTCGTTTATGAAAATATGATTTCCAAGAATCAATTTTATAGCACATGGAAGTCTCTAATTTATGTTTTCTAAGTCAGCCAATCCTGTTGATGGCAGACAGAAAAACACCGATTTTGAATATAAAATACATTCAGTTTTTATTTATATGCCATGAGTAAGCATGTTTATTGTCCAAAGGGAAGGAAATAGCAGATAAAAAAGAAAATTTAAATGTAGACGAGACAGGGATAAAGGATACAAGAATGACTAAAGAAGTCCATTACAGATCTGGCATGACACCTAGAAGAGTAAGGATCTTGTCAAGGTAGGAAACGCAGGTAGAGCTATTAAAATTCAATAGATAGCGGCGATTTTTATTATTTTAGAAGATGCAGCTGCAAAGATAGCCTGAGACAGGGATATAAAGGTGGTATGCCACAAGAGGGAGCTTTGGATTCTTCCTGTTAGATACAGCACCAGGGCACTCTTCCAACTCAGACACTGAGCTTTATTGGATTTGGCAAATTACCTGGCAAGCCGTAGGAATTCAGCAACGTTTGCTAAATTGAGTAATTTTTTTCTCCATTGAAGCAACAAGAAGCACGACAAGATTCCTTCAGATGCTTTGCTTCTAACATTAATAGTCAACAACAGCTTATTTCATTTTTTCTCCATTAAACATTGTCTTTGAACAGGAGACACCCTTTCATAATCACAAAGACATTATTATGAAAGGGTATCGCCTGTTCAAAGACAATGTCAGCAACATCTTACATAGATTTTTTTTTTTTGTCTTTTTGAAACAGGCTTTCATTATGCAGTTCAGGTTGGCTTGTAACTCACTGTGTAGCCCAGGCTAGCCTCAAACTCATGGTGATCTTCCTGTCTCAGCCTTCCAAGTGCTGAGATTACAGGCATGTGCCAGCACACCCTACTAAAGAGTGTTTTTTTCAACTAGGACTCAAACTCAGGACCCTATACTTGCCAGGTAGGTACTGTGTCACTGAGCTAAATCCCAGGCCCTCTGCCATAGACTCTTTTTTGGTACCGGGATTCAAACTCATGACCTCGCACTTGCCAGGGAGGCCCTGTGCCGCTAAGCTATACCCTCAGCCCCTCTACCATAGACACTTTTTCTTTTTTTAGTTTTTTTAATTTTAAAGAGGGGAAGAAAAAACAGACAATAAAAACAAAAAGCAAAAGAGGCAAACAAACAATAAAAACTCACCACAATAATATAGGCTTTCAAAACAAGATGGCAGTAATTTAACAATGGTTATTATATTGCATATTATCTTTAAGAGTTGCTTAGGGCACTGCTGCCAACGCCCCGGCGAAGAAGCTGAGGTCAACATCAAATTCGAAATATTTAAACAATTTCCACAATGCAGACAATTAAGTGCGTTGTTGTGGGCGATGGTGCTGTTGGTAAAACATGTCTCCTGATATCATATACAACAAACAAATTTCCATCTGAATATGTACCAACTGTTTTTGACAACTATGCAGTCACAGTTATGATTGATGGAGAGCCATATACTCTTGGGCTTTTTGATACTGCAGGGCAAGAGGATTATGACAGATTACGACCACTGAGTTATCCACAAACAGATGTATTTCTAGTCTGTTTTTCAGTGGTCTCTCCATCCTCATTTGAAAATGTGAAAGAAAAGTGGGTGCCTGAGATAACTCACCACTGTCCAAAGACTCCTTTCTTGCTTGTTGGGACCCAAATTGATCTCAGAAATGATCCCTCTACCATTGAGAAACTTGCCAAGAACAAACAGAAACCTATCACTCCAGAGACTGCTGAAAAGCTGGCCCGTGATCTAAAGGCTGTCAAATATGTGGAGTGTTCTGCACTCACACAGAAAGGCCTAAAGAATGTGTTTGATGAAGCGATACTGGCTGCCCTAGAGCCTCCAGAACCGAAGAAGAGCCGCAGGTGTGTGCTGCTATGAACATCTCTCCAGATCCCTTTCTGCACAGCTGGTGTCAGCATCATACTAAAAGCAATGTTTAAATCAAACTAAAGATTAAACATTAAAATTCGTTTCTGCAATAATGACAAATGCCCTGCACCTACCACATGTACTTGTGTGAGACAAGGCCGGTAGGTATGCCCCGCCCCTCCCAGTACTAGTTAATTTTGAGTAATTGTGATTGTCAGAAAAGTGATCAGTACTAGTTTTTGTTTTGTTGTTTCAAAAACTTTTTTTTGTTGTTCAAAAGTAAGGCATGCTTGTGAGGACTCTGTAACAGACTAATTTGAATTGTTGAAGCTGCTCCCTGGTTGCACTTGAGAGTAATCTGGGACATCTTGGTATTTTTTTTCCTTCTTTTATTTTTGGGCAGGGGGGGGGTATTTTTTAGTTTTATTTTTTAAAATTCATTAACCAGTGGTCAGCCCTTAGAGGAGGAGGACGGATTGATTCCACATTCCACTTCCTAGATCTAGTTTAGAAGAGCATGTTCCCCACCTGGTGCTCTTAGGAAGGAGTATAGTAAATGCCTCATTTAATAACATACTCCTTTTTGAAAGTTGCCTTTTTTCTCTCTCCACCCTCGAGTGGATCCAGTATTTGATAAAATTTGTGAAAGTGGGTGGAGGCTGTCTTGTCCCTCCTCTTTTCTAGGATGCACTCTATATGTGACTGTGACTTTCAAGGAAATTTGTTTACCACTTGCTGATTTTTTTTTTTTTTTGGAAGTTAATTTTTACTTCTTTCACTGATAAATGAAGAAAAGTATTGCACCTTTTGAAATATACCAAATGGATTGAGTTTGTAATTAAAATTTTTTTCTCCCCTGTTAGTCATTGTCTTATTATGCTTAGCATAGATTTGCCATTCAGTAGCGTTGGGCGTTCCTAGACTCCAGCAGAAGACCTGACACAGAGGAAATAGGAGTGGTGCTACAAGACAGATGCCTACGGGACAATTGGCATCCTCTTTCAGGTTGAGAGGATGCAGGCCTGCTTCATTAAGAAGCTATGGGTGGGTGGGCGGGCTTGGGGAGAACACTTAGCAACATGGGGACCAGCTAGGGAAATCCCCTTATTTCTGTTTTCCATATGAGGAACCCTATAGCAATTGGTTGAGGCTCTCTAGTTTAATAAAAATCATGCAAGGAGTCTTATGAAGACTCAGTGTTAATAGAGACTTTATCAGCTTATTTTTGTTGCAGTTTCTAGTTTTTAAAAAATGTTTAGGTAATTTTTTCACCATCCCAAGATCCTAATTCTTGTAGATTTCATTAGTGTTGAACCAATGCTTTCTCATGTCTCAATCTTTGTATATGCATTCTTTTCAGATGTATTAAACAAAAACCCTTCAAAAAAAAAAAAAGAGTTGCTTAGATTACCAGATATAGACATGCCAAATTGATCTAACCATATGAGTATTAACTGTTCCTTTCCAAGAACTAATAGAATTAGTAGTATAACTGTCTCTTATGTACGTATATTCAAATTTAATATACTTTCTTTTCCTTTCCTTTTCTCCTTCTTCCTATCACAGTTATTTTCCCTTTTGAGCAGTTTTTACCATTTCACAATGTATATTTTAGATCTTACAGTTTCATTTTGTTACACGAGGGCAACAATATACACAAGTTTATTTCACTTATGAGTATGATCTCAAGTCGAATCCATCTACCTGTAAAAGCCTTGATGTGATCCTTCTTTGAGACTGAGTAGTATTCCATTGTATAAAAATATCACATCTCTTTTTATCCATTCTTCAGTTGATAGGCATTTGGGTTATTTCAAAGATCTGGCTTTATTACAATTGTGCTGCTATAAACCTGGGTGCACATTTATCACTGTGATATGTTTTCAATTCTTCTGGGAAAATGTCCAGAAGCAGAATAACTGAATAAAATGGGGCCTCTATTTCTGGTTTATCAGAAATAACCACACTGATTTCCACAATGGTTGCAACAGTCTACACTCCATCCAATAGTAGAGAAGAGCTCTTTTTTGTCCACAGCCCCTCCAGCATGTCTTTTTTGATTTTGTCCATTGTTTCTGGAGTGAGATGGAATCTCAGTGTTGTTTTGTGTTTCTCTAATGATCAATGATGCTCAACATTTTTTCATGTATCTATTTGCCATTTGTATTTCCTCATCTGAGAACTGTGTATTCTTCTCAGATGTCCATTTTTGGATTGGGTCTTTAAATTTTGGGGACCTGTTTTAAAATTCTTTATATTTTCTACATTGAAGTCCACTGTCTGAAGGCCAGTTGACTAAGATTTATTTCCCAATTTGTGGGGTTTTTTTTTTTCACTATTGGAGATTTCTTTTGATATCCTAAAACTTTTTAATAAAATGAGATCCCGGTTGTTGATTCTGGAAGTATCTCCTATGCAGTTTGATTTTTGTTCATGGTCTCTCTGCCTATCCCTGCATCTTCAAGATTTCTACCAATTATGTCTTCCAGCAGATTTAGGGTTTCTGTTTTAATATTTAGATCTTTGATTCATTTTCACTTTAGTTTAGTGCATGGTGGTAGACATGGGCCTTGGTTTAGTCTTCAGCAAGAGGAGAGCCAGTTTTTCCAGCAGCAATTATTAAAGAGGCTATCCTTCTTCCAGTGAACATATTTTGCCCCTTTGTCCAAGATAAGGTGACTGGGGGCTGGGGATTTAGCTCAACGGCATAAGCACCTGCCTTGCAAGCAGGCGGTCGTGAGTTCGATCCCTGGTACCGATAAAAATGAAAAAGACGAAAAAAAAAAAAAAAAAAAAAGATAAGGTGACTGAGTGTTAGTAGTTGTGGATAGATCTTCGAATCTGTTCTACTGATCTTCAGGGTTTTTTAATGCCAGTACTATGCTGATGTTATCACAGTAGCTTTGCAGTATAATTTCAAGTCACATTGTGATGCTTCCTGCCTTGACTTAGTTGTCCAGATTGTCTTTACTATTCTAGGTTTCTTTTGATTCCAGATGAATTTTAGAAACAATTTCTATCGATCTGTGAGGTATGTTAATGGTATTTTGCTTGGAATTGTATTATCTGTGTAACAATTTTGGGAGAATGGCCATTTTCACTATGTTTGTTCTTCCTATCCATGAACAAGGAATGTCTTTCCATTTTCTGAAATCCTCTTCGATTTTTTTCAGAGTACTGTAATTTCCAATGGATAGCTCTTTTACTTCCTTTGTTAGATATGATTGTTAATACTTCATTTTTTTGGAAGCTACTGTGAAGGGTGTGGTTTCCCTTATTATCTCTCGCAATGAGTTTGTTGTTTGTGTACAGGAAATGTTGATTTTTGAGTGTTGACTTTATCAGCTACATTACTGAATTTGATTATTGGATTTAGACTCTTTCAATGGAGTTTTGGGAGTCTTCTATGTAGAATATCATGTGATCTGCAAATAATGGTAATTTAACTTCTTCCTTTCCTATCCTTATTCCCTTTGTCTCTCATGCCTAATTGCTCTGGCTAATGTTTCCAGAACTGTCTTGAATAGGAGTAATAATAATGGACATCCTTGTTTTGTTCCTGATTTTAGGTTTAAAGTTTCCAGTTTGTGTTCATTTAGTAAGGTGTTGGCAGTTTATCACATACAGCTTTTATTAGAGTGAGGTAAAGACCATCTATTCCGATTTTCCATAGGGTTTATATCATGAGTGTTAGAGTTTATTAAAAGCTTTGACTTGCTCTCCTTTTTCTAGATGATTGAGGTCCAGCATCAGGTTTGTGTTTGTTCTGTTTTCCTGATATGTGAATTCACTGCAATAAATTTCCCTCTGAGGACTGCTTTCATTGCATCCCACAGGTTCCAATAAATTGCATTTGCATTTTTGTTTCTTGTAAATAGCTTAATTTCTTGTTTAACCTTCCCTGTGACCCACTGATTATTCAGGAGGGTATTATTTAATTTCCATGTGTTTATGTCATTAACCTCCAGTTTAACAGCACTATGATCAGATAATATGCATGGAATAATTTCAATTACTTGCATTTATTTGAGCATGTTTTATGGGCTAGGATATGGTCTACTTTAGAGAATGTCCCATGTGAAGCTAAGAATATTTGTCCTGATGTTGCTGGGTGAATACTCTATATACATCTATTAAGTCCATTTGTTCACAAGTTTGATTCAGTTCTGTTATTTCTTTGTGTCAAAGCAATAACTGTGTTATTGCTTATTTCATTTTTCGTGTCTATTCATTTGTTTTATATAGTTGGGTACTCCCATATTTAGTGCATATATATTTAGGATTGTTATCTCTTCCTCTTGAAGATTTCCCTTAACTAGTATGTAGTGACCTTATCTCTTTTGATCATTCTTACTTTGAAGTTCACATTGTGTGCAAACAGAATAGCTACACCTGCTTTTTTTTTTGGGGGGGGGGTGTTCTGTTACTTGAAGTATTGTTTTCCACCCTTTGACTTTCAGTCTATGGGTTTCCTTTTGGGTTAAATGGGTATCTTGTGTACAGCATATGGTTGGATGTTGTTTCCTGACCTATTCTGCCAATCTGTTTCTTTTAAATGGTGAGTTGAAGCCACTGACATTAATGATTATAACTAATAAGTCTTTATTTTTGTCATGTTATCTTTCTACTGTTGGTTCTTTACCTTTCCCCTCTATTTACTTGTTTGCCCTGCTTGGTTGTTTGTTTGTTGTTGTTGCTTTTTTCTGTTGTTATTCTTGAAATCATAGTGATTTTTATGTTTATTTAGAATATCTTTCAATAGTCTTTGTAGTGTTGGTTTGGGGGTGGTGACGTTCTTCAGTTGTTCTTTGTCATTTCTCTATTGATTATCTAAATAATATCTTCGTTATTTTCTCTATCGATTTTGAAGGATAGTTTTTCAGGAAACACCAATCTGGGTTGGAAGTTGTTTTCTTTAAGGATTTGAAATACTTCACACCATGCTCTTCTTGAAATAATGTTTTGTGTAGAGAAGTCTGCTGCGATTCTGATGGGGGTTCCTTTGCAGGTTATTTTTTTTTCGTTAACAACTTTTAATAGTCTGTTCTTATGTTGGATTTCAGAGGTGTTGATTATTATATGTCTAGATATAGATTTATTTTGCTTATGGATAACTGGAGTTAATATGACTAACAACATTGATGGATTTCTATCAAATTAAATCCACTGTTTATATTCCTTGGGTATAAGCCAAACTAAATTGTGATACATTACCTATTATACGTATTGTAAAATTTGCTAAAACTTGGTTTAGAATTTTATGCCTACATTTTGAAGTGCCTTGACCTGTAATTTTCCTTCCTTGTATTGTGCTAGGTTTTTGTATGAATGTGACACTAACCTCAAAAAGTGATAAGGGAGCTAGCTGGGTATGATGGCACATGCTTGCAATCCCAGCACTCAGGAGGCTGGAGGAATACCATGAGTTTGAGGCCAGCCAGGACTACATAAGTGAGTTCAAAGTCAGCTTGTACTATATAGTGTAACCCTGTGTCCAAAAAAAAGGGGGGGGGGGAATAAGGGGTGTCCTCCTTCTGTTTGTGTTCTCTGGAAGAGTTTCTTAAGAGGCTGGAATTATTTATTGTCATGGATCTTCTGAAGAAATACGTGGCCATCTGTGCCTAGATTTTTGTGGCATTCAGTAGAAAGACTTTTGACTATAAATTCCATGGCTTACCCATTTAACAATTTGTCCCAAGTGTTGCTTGCATACTGACTATCCTAAGTGTCACTTGGCAGGTGTCATTTCAATTGGTTGATTTTTATTTGCACGTTTTTGTTTTTCCTTTTTTGGTACTGACAATCGAACTTAAGACCTTGCACTTGCCAGGCAGGCACTGTGCCACTGCATTTTTGTTTTAC